TAAATTTATGTTTAGAACACATGAATGCTTTATGTAATAAATGTTTTGCATGTCAAATTTAGCATATTTCAATGTTGTATACTTTTTTTTATGTTTGAATGAATCAGTGTAATTTTTTTTTATATTGAAGAATAAAGATCCATGTTATGAATTATCATGATTATATGATATATAAGTTAATTTTTTCATTTAATATTTTAAATTTTAAAAAAGTTAACTTTTTTTAGAAAATTTTGGGACAAATTATATTACTCCTTATCATTTTTAATTTAAACTTTAGAAATAAAAATAAATAATTATTTTATCAGGTTTAAGGTTAGTTCTATCTTATATCCAAATATTAAATCTAAATAATGAATATAACTGGAGATATATGCATTTGAAATTGGGGTATATTAAACCCCACCCAAGTATTGACTTGATTTTTTTCACCGGAGTATTGAAGGGTTAAGAAAGAGAAAAATATATCATCCTTAATTAAATGAGAAACCCTAAAATGATTTCTGGTAATATTTTTATAATTAATCAATGTTTTTAACAGGGTTGACCGGCCAAATTCAGTCGTTCGACCGGAGGAGTAGTGTTGTTAATTTGCTTGGTCGTAAAATTTACGACCAAATTTCGTGCTCAGGCCGACCCGGGGTAGACCCGGGGTTCAGACCCGGGGTCCAGACCCGGGGTTAAGACCAGGGGTTCAGACCCGGGGTTAAGACCAGGGGTTCAGACCAGGGGTCCAGACTTACACCTTGGGGTTGGGCTCGGATAAATGAAAAGTAAAAAAAAAATATTTCATTTTCTAATCTTAAATTAAATCTTATTCTTCTTATCTTATTCATTCTAAATTAATAAATAAAGCTTTTTTTATTATTATTTTCTTACCATTTTTTTTCTTTTGATAAAAAATTTATATGGTAAAATAAAAATATATGTAATAAATATTCAAAAAGAGTAGCCCATGCATGACGGAATAAAAATAAAAAAGTAAAATTTTATTTTAACACATATTGATATTGTAATTTAATGTGGAGAGGACCAATATAAAAATTCAACGTCATTCATGCATGTATAAATAATAAAAAGAAATGTAAATTTATAATTTGTGATAAAATAATGGCCAATAAAAAGTTTTTCTTTATTATATTAAAGTTTATATTCCCAATAATATATATGTCATAATTTTTAAAGGGATGTCAACTATCCAGGATCACCACGGGTTTTAAAGGTATAACTAATAAATTTGGGTTTTAAGTAGGTGTATACCGATATCACTTTTTGGAGGCCTATCCGATCCTATATTAAATTGATATCGACCGATTACCGATCCGATATCATATCTAATTTTTATGTCATTTATTTAAATATATTATAATGATCAGTTATAGTTTTTATTCAATTCTATTGCAATTCTAAAAGTATATAAAATATTTTTATTGTTAAATAACTTTTATATAAATAAGTAACATTAATCTATATATAATAAATAATAAACATATATAATATGAAATTTGAATAAAATTTTAAACAATATTTAACATTAATAAATCGAAGATTTATTATTGGAAATACCAAAATTTACTTATTTATCAGAAATCAATTTACGTTTACGGCGATGTTAACTGTCAAGTTAATTAATATCACCAAATTCACTAAAAAAAGATTCTTGAAGAGATTATCGCAAACTTTTATAAACAGAATGGTGCATAAAAATAACAATATGCAGAATGATTAATTAATTATTATTATTAAAAAAATATGGATTTCGATTTTATTTATTAAAATAAATGACTATTAAAAACTTAAGAAATTGTTGAGAAAATTTTTGTTATTTTTTAAAAACTTCCTGTAATTTAACTTAAATAATTATTTTTTAAATGGTTCTTCAAACCAAATAACAAAACAAGATCAATATAATTGAGGTAATTACTAGTTTTTTATTTAATATATTTCACACACAGCCTCTTTAACTCACATACGATATGATATATCAAAAAGGAAATTCGATCTATATCATAGTGTTGTTAATTTGCTATTGTCCACCATTAAAATAATCAGAATCAGACCAATACTCATCTTCTAAAATGTTACACATTACTTTATTATAAAATATTTAGTTTTGTAAAAAACGATTAAAGCTTGAAAAATTTTAGAAGAAAACTTTAATATTTAAAATAAATTATTTTTTTAATTCTACTATTTTTATTCTTCTATATATAGTTTTTAAAAATAAAACTTCCGTTTGTTTTTTTGAAGTTAAAATTAATTATTTAAATAGAAAAATAATTTTATTATTCAATTTCAAATTTTTTTAATATTTTTGAAGTGGGGGTTATTAAGTTATGAATATGATGTTTAATGAAATATGTTGACGATTTTATCAAAAATAAAACCCCTTATATAAAAATTTTTATTGCAAAAATAAAATAAAATTTACTATTAAAAACTTGAAAGAAATTGTTGAGAAAATTTTTGTTATTTTTTAAAAACTTCCTGTAATTTAACTTAAATATTTATTTTTCAAATGGTTCTTCAAACCAAATAACAAAACTAGATCCATATAATTGAGGTAATTAATTACTACTTTTTTGATTTAATATATTTCACAGCCTCTTTAACTCACATACGGATACGATATGATATATCGAAAAGGAAATTCGATCTATATATAATACATATCTTTGAAGTTTGAAAATAGTGATTACTAATTATGTGATTTTATTTTTATATTTTATTTTCTGTTTCAGTTTTAATATACTTATTATAATTATAGACGATGATGATGATATTTACGAATACGAATAAAATTATAATTGAAAACAAATGTGTTTTAGAAATTTTTTTGAAAAACTTCCTTTTCTTCCGAAATCTAAAAAAATGGAAATTAATTTTCATTAAATTTATAATTATAACTGTTTCCATCGAGAATGTTGACGGAAATATTTTTAATAAGATCTAAATTAATCATATTTATGTTGAATTTTTTATGTAAAATAAAATTTTTTATTATATTTATAGAAGAGACGCAGCCACTCGTTAATATCAATCACATCTTTATTTTAGATTTTAAAATCATATAGAAATATATAATTTACTTTTTTTATCACATAAGAAAATAGGGGATTTTATTAAAAAAATTAGCTACAGATACTTAATTTTATTATCTAGTTGATGAAATTAAATAAATCCGGTCAGAAAGTTCGTATCTAATTCTGAACTAAGATCAGGATGGTATAGAAATAATCTATAAGCAAACCTACATAATAATTCATTTTTATTATTTCCAAGCCCTAAGAGTCCCCGATTAAAAATTTTTTAGTCATAAGCTGAGTTGCTTGCAGGATTTTCCTATTTAAGTTCGATATTATTGATAAATAATTTTAATTAAAATATTTGAAACAACATTATTTATGGGGTTCGACTCGAGTTAATGCTGGCTTATTTCTTATATAAATATTGCTAATTTAGATCGCAGTAATTTTATTAGACCCACCTCGGATTTGGGATTTACACAACCAAGACCAACCAATTAAACAACACCCATATCGATATTTTGTGTTAATAAAAATATACCTGACCCCCCACCCCCCCCAGGACCTATACCCGCCCTGTATGAGTGATCATTATCATTATTATTATCATTACAAAAAAATATTTTTATTTCCATATAAAAAATATTAATTTTCACCCCCCCCCCCACTTTCACCCCCCCCCCCTACATCCACCTCCAAAACCAAGTCATTCATACCCATCAAGATAAAAAATGAATACTTTCAATCTAAAGATATTTAGTTTAGAAGATTATATTTTACCCATATATCGATATTTTGTTTTGATAAATTATTCCTGACCCCCCAAGACCTAGTAGACCCGCCCTGCCCTCTTTCAGTCATTATTATTATTGCAATAAAAAATATTTAATTATTAACTTGTTTATTAAATCGTTACACGACACGACCCCGGGTCTGAACCCCGGGTCTGAACCCCGGGTCTGGACCCCGGGTCTGAACCCCGGGTCTGAACCCCGGGTCTGTGCTCAGAGCTGGTTTGGTCGATTTTTTAGACCCAAACCCCGGGTCTGGTTTTATACAACCAACCAATTAACAACACTACGGAGGAGTATTTGACCTTATTAAATATGGTCAAATACTCTAAAAAATTTGAAGAAAAATTAAAAATATAGTTGAAAAAATAAAATAACGATATAAATTGACGTTGATCACAATGCTGCTAATTTATTGGGTTCCCAATATCAAGGGAAACATATTACTAGTAATGAATTTAATGAAGTGTGTGATATAATAAATACAATTAGGCATTTTACAAGATCAAAATATTTTATGATATCATAAATTTAAAAAGCGGAATGTTTAATAGCAAATTATGTGGAAAGCAGCAACTTAAAAAAAACAATCAGATTTCGGCCTCAAGTTTGTGGAATGAGTTTTCCACCATGTCCATTAAGAGAAGTGGCATATTATTAACAATTCCTAGTCCTTTATTGATTGAAGATCTCGACAACAGGAAAATTGATTAAAAAAATGAATCAGAACAAGACTGTGCCATGGAGAGCTAAACATTAATTATTGAATGACAATAAATTTAAAAAAAATTATAAAACTAATATTATAGATTCATTTTACCATTTTACAAGATTAAGTTAATATTGACTTATAAAAATTAATTTATTTGAATTGACCATATTTGACCGGTCAAATATGTTTCGATAATTTTGAATTCTTTTTTTAGAAATTTGCAGATAATAAACTACCTTAGCAAGAAAAAATTAATTCTAACAATTCAAATTTTTTTTGGTTTCGAGCTATATTAGAAAAATTATAAAATAAAGAATTGATCTTTGTCTTCAAAAAATTATTAGCATATCCATTTTTTTAAAAAAAGAAGCAATTTTTATTGCTTGGGTAGAGAAAAAAATAAGAATATTAAATAATCTAAGTTTTTTTAAAAAATAAAAATTTAGAGTTGAATAATAAAACAAAATTTACCGGCATTTTAACGTTAAAATGACCGCCATTAGATTCGATATCTTTTTGAATTTGCTTTATACTCTCGTTGAGCGCATTTAGGCCATCAGTCTTCTCTAAAGTGTTTGTAGTTATTACGTAAAGTGGGGGCGCTATCAAATTAATCTGTTTCGTTAAAATATATATTTTTATATGTATGCAAATATCTTTATTCGCTCAGATGCATAGGATTTGATTTTTAAAAAAAATTATTTTCAGCATGGTTTGGGATTCTAAAAAATTTAACCTTCAAGCTTAGCTCAAAATTTTTTTAAAAAAAATTTGGTCCAGCTTAGATTCTTATATTTGGTAATTTTTTTGCATGGCTACATCCGAGATTCTTAGTGGCTCCGAATTTTCAAAATTATACCATATTTTAAATCCGGGCCAGATTAACGGTTCAGGTTCTAGGCCTTCAGGTATTTGATTTATAATAAGTTTAATAATTCGGTAGTAGTGAGTATTAATATTTACTACCTTAACTTTAGTAAATTGTTTACTTTGATGGGCATTTCTTCTGTGGAACAATCGATTCCTTTCCTCAGAGCGTTCTTTATTGCTTCTATACCATAGTAGTTGTAACAAGATACCTCGATATCTTAATTAGGAGAAGAAAAAATTAAGATATCAATAAATCATAATTTTTTTTATATTTAAACTTTATTTTTTATTATTCATTTATCTTTAAAACATGTAAACTAAATATAAAAATAAAAAATGAATATATATATATTAAAAGTGAATGTATATTTTAAAAATATCGATGGCTCTAAAAAGAGCTTATAGTAAAAATGTTCCTAAAAAACAGGTATGATTATGTTTAAAAATTTCTAATTGGAGTTTTTGTTTAAGAAAAATTGATTTGCGTTTTTCGTTTGTAATGTTATAAATTTTACGTGCTAAGATCTTTAAAAAAAAATATGTTGATTGTGAGAAATTGCCATTAGTTGAAATGACTATGGGTTGAAAAATAAAGTTATTTAGTATTGAGTATTTATTGATTTTTTTATTTTCCCCGCTAGTAAGAGGGTTTGATTTAATTGATGAGGGAAAGGAAGAGACGCAGGTTGCATCCTAAATTAGGGATTTCCCATTGGACCATGGAGTGCAGGTTTAAACCGTCAGGTCTGAGACCATCTTGTAAAGAGAGGTATGTTGGTTCTAGGATGTTATGTATTTTAGCCTTATTAAGAGCGTTATGGATGATTTTATTTATAGCTTTATGCCGGAGGCCTGCCCTTTTTTGCATTGGTATCCATAAAATAATCCAGGAAATTCAATCCAAATCCATCCTTACCTTAAATTCCTGATATCTTGATGATGGCATTGTTATGGCAACCCCTCCAAAATTCGGTCTATCCCATCCATAATCTAGGATCTCTCACATACTGCAAGACTCACTTAATCACCTTAAATGTGAGATATGTTTCCTAAATCCTGCATCCATTCCTTTAGACACCACATCTTGGATAGCCAACAAGGAGAGAAAAAACCATCAAAATTTTTTTAAAAAAATCCCTAAACAATTCTTTCTCTTTCAGCCTTTATTTCATCCAGTCTAGCTGTTCAAATTATCATCAATAATGTATCCACTCCTATATATCCTGACCTATCACAAGCCCTTACCATTTTTTGGGACCAAAAGTTTGTCCACCCACTGCCGTCCTACCTCCAGCATTTAAAAAGACTGGAATGCTCTTTTGATCACCCGTTCCATTGAATACTTCATTTAAAACAGGCCTTTTGAGGAAATTCCCAATAACATCATATTAGATGAAAAAGGCTATGATGGTTGGAAGCCATTCCCCAATCTTGGCCTCCTCATGACTGGCAAACAGCTATGTATATCCATAGCCCCTTGCCTTGGATGTGTAGAGTACCCTCTATTTGCAACAATAGTAGCTAGCTCCAAATCAAACACCTATCACTCCTTGCATTGGAAGTTCTCTCCAGGGACCCAAACCGTTATTTATAAGAGTTCAATTTGGTAACGGTTCAGCATGTAAAAATTATAATGGTTACGTTTTGGTTCACTACGGTTAGAATTTTTTTTTTATTGAAGCAACACCATCGTCTAATTTATTTTTATTATAAGCATCTATGAATTATTATATATAAAAAAATATATATATAACTCATTTTTAAAAATATTATAAGTAATATATATATAACTCATTTTTAAATATTATAAGTAATATATTTTCTAATATAAATGGATTCATATTTATTTGTTGTGACGATAACACAAATTTTAGCCCCGAAAAGGCCTTTTCTATAGAAACTTATGTTGTGGGAACTGCCAGTACTATAAGAGCAAGTATATATAATTCTGGATATTAAAATTTTGATTCCTAAAATATAAAATCTGAACCGGTTTAACTATTTTTTATAAAGGTTCTTTTTACTCCTTCAAAAAATAATTATATCGGTTTGGTTACGATTCTGATATTTAAAACAGTTTAACGGTTTGTTACGGTTCACTCCGGGTCCCTGGTTCTCTCACAGATTACAATCCCACCATGAAGTCATTAACAACATTCTCCTGCTGCCCTCAAAAAAGTTAATATCCCATCAACCCTCATTATTAGATTTGCTTATATTATTATAGTGCCTTATAATTATTATTATATTGCAATTTTTTTATTAAGGTCCTCAAGGTTTTATAACATAATTAAAAGTTTTGAGAAATGGGCCCAAATTAAAAACGCTTTTAACTTAAAAAAATATTACACTTTTTGGGATGATTTTGCAAAGCACATCAAGTTTTGGGATTAAAGTCAATACCCCCATAAGGATAAATCAAATCAAGGAACCAAAATTATAAGCTTCTTTTAAAATTTATATGAGCCAGAACTGGAACACATTTTAAAATATTCAGGGAAAAATTCTAAAAAAAACTGCAAGTATGTATTGTATAAAATGTTGTCTGGTTTTTTTATTAATTTTTTTTGATTGTTCATAGTTTGATCCTGAATCTGGAACATTAGACAATTGTACCCAGATCTGGTATCAATGAATTGTGCTGTATTACTTTTTAAGTACAAATTCATTAATCCAAATTATATGATAACAGAAAGGAATAAAAAAATATTTACAAACTTTTAATAAAATTTTGAACAAGATATAATAATATTTATTTAATAACTGTTGGAAAAACATTGTTAAATTAATATTACCAGCTCTGATTTTAACAGGTTGAGGAGTCAATCTCCTTTTGATGCTTGTTAACAAAATATCTTTAGTGTGTTCATCAATGCCACATTCATCAAATACTTTAGGATCTCTTCAAAAAATTATTTGGATTTATCAAATAAATTTAAATTATTGTTAAATATAAATATATCAAATTCATTTTTGTTAAAATCTGTTTCATCCTTGCAAATTCCTTAAGATTAGGCAATATAGTTTAGATTATAAAAAGCTCAAAGGAGACATCTTTTTTTTATTGTATATAATAAATATATGAAAAATTTACGATATGGCAGATTTAAAAATTTCAAAACAAGCAGCTTGTCTTTTATATTTATCATCAAAGTGCCAGGCTATCTTTTCATGAAGAGTTTCCAATTCTTCCTTTGTTTCATAATTTAAAACATTCGCTATTTGACGTAATATACTATTAACCTTATAATTCAATAAATAAAATATTATCAAATCTCTGAATTATATTAGTATATATATCTAAGCAAGTTAATGTTTGAAAATATTTCTTTTGCTAATTTTTCAAAATATTACTAATATTTTCTATAAAAAAAGTTGTTCATTACACTTTTTGCCCTTGCGTATTTTTCTTCACAGGCTCTGATGTCTTCAGGAGATACTCTTCTTTTAGATAAATCAATATAGCCTATCAAAATTAAGACCAAACTCAAATATAAGATTACCCTTTTCTTTATCAACTCTTATAACAACTACGCATTCATTTCTTCCAACTCTTATTAATTTATTTATTGATCGAATTCTTCTTCTAGATAATTCACTAAGCAAAATCATGCCTATTAAAAGTAATTTATAGTATATAATTTTAAAAGCTATACCTTCGATATTATCATATTCCAATAATGTAACATAGGCACCCATTTCAGCTATAGAATGAACATTTACAACTACTACATCATCAATTTCTGGATATTTTTGCTTATAAAATCGACATGTCAAAGCAGGCATTTTTACGAAAAACCGAGCTTTATAAGGATTACTTAGAATTTTTTGGGATATTCGATTCAATGATTCCATCACAATATTATTAAATATATTGTTAATAAAACTATGATAATTACAGCGCCAATTTACATTAGACAAAGTACAAAAATTTATAACTTACGCCTATATATATATATAATATCCCAATTACGAGATGTCGGCTTAAGTAAGGTAAGCATAAGCATAGATTATTTCGAAATTTTGTTTAAAAAAATTTTAAATATGATGATTATTATTTATATATTATGTTGATAAATAAATATACAATTTTAAATGCATTTAAGAAAACTACTTATTATACAGCGACTAAGTTCCATAGAATCAAGAATCTTGGTATAGCTGAAAGCGAAAAAAGATAGGCTAGGAAGTTATAGAAAATGAGTAATAATGATTATCTGAACACGATTTTATAATGTCCATATAATTTCATATACTCAAATTTTGGATACATGTTGTATATTGACCCTAACGCCTCATTTATAGCAAAAGCAATTTTTTCTATTTAACAATGCAGTATTTATAAAATCAAGCTAAAGACAAACGGGGAAAAGTCTTGTCTAAAATAGAATGATAGACGTCGGTCTTGAGAAGAGTTAGTAGGGATTTAGCACAATTTAAATATAAGGATTTAATTTATCAAGCGAAGATTTCTTTATTTTTTCAATATAGTATAAAAATAAAATCTGTTACTAACTCCAAAAATAATTTTCTCATGAGCTTTATATATAAATATATCTTTTTTTATAAAATGTAAATCGATTAAGGTTATAAAACATAGCTGCAAACTCATATTAACAATTTAAAAGAAATATAAATTGATTCTTTAAATACAAGTAATAATAAAAATAAAAAATAATATTTACAAATATGTAACACAAGCCAAAAATTAGGTATAATTTTGAAGTAGTAGGGCTTGATTAGACAGGTTGGGGGTTCGTCTGCTGGGATCTCGTAAGTGGCATATAAGTTATTATAAATAAATTACACGTAAACTTTGCTTTAAATTTTATTAATCTTGATCAAATATAAAAAGTTTTATACGTCAAAAATATTTAAACATTAAAATTTATTCTTCAAAATTATTTTCCAAAAAAAATATATCATAATTTATTTAATACAAAAAAGTATATCTTTATTCGAAAATTATATTTAAACCAAAATACAAAGTGTATCTGTAAGTATAAAAATTTGTCCCATTTATAAGGAAAATAAAACGCCGCAATTATAAATTAAAATAAAATTGGCGCAAAGTGAAAAAAAGAACGTTTTTGCAAAAAGGAGTTTTGTTAGTTTTATCTTGTATAGTTAGGGATATAAAATACCACCCCCCCCCTCATACTTTCTGGCTCTAATTATACCTCTGGATGCAGAGCGATCTCCTGAACCTAAATATCTAACTTATATTTCCTGAACACAGTACTAAGGACTCCTAAAGAAAAACTCTTAAGTAAAAGAAAACATAAAAACAAGATGTTTGATTAACTCAAAACAAAAGAAAAACTTTATTTAATCTTTATGTATTTAAGATAAAACAAAAGAAGGGTTAAAAAAAAAGAACTAATTTTAATTGAAGTGCATTTAAGGCTAATAGATAGCATACTTGATTATAATAATATACCATATTTAACAAATTTAAATATAACGTAAGAATGATAAAGCTATGATAAAATTTTAAAAACATATTTTTCGATGTATATTTTAAAAATTATTGTTCCAGTAAAGACACCACTGTTATTTCGGTAGCGTTAAATATGGCACCGTTTGTTTCTTCTCTCTCTCCTGCTCAATCATTATTAGGATTTAGAGAATCTGACATAATCTCCCATTAGAAAAACATTCATTGTTAAAAATGGGTAGTCACTATCTATATAACTATCGGCTTTCTATCAATTCTCTAATCGTATGGTTATGATAAAATGGAACCTTATCCCTCCCCTCATATTCGTCATAATACTTTCTTTAATAAATTAATATTTTATTTACAAAGTATTAAAAGTTTATAGTATTAGGGTTATAAAAGCCTCGAATCTGATCCCCCAAATAGGGAAAAAGAATGAAAATAAAAATATAGTAATTGAAGAAAAAAAAAGGAATTATTTGTAAAAAGACAAAATGAATAATCACAAATAAGAAGAAAAAAATTAAGAAAAAATATCGCAAAAGGTTAGAAATGAAATAAAAAGGAATTTAAGAAACATCATATTTTAAGAGTTATAAAAAATATATTTTGAAAAACGTTTTTCTTTTTTTGAATGGGGATTTACTTTTTTGATAAAGTCTTTTCTCCTTCTTCAGGGACTTTTCCCTTTTTAATTGACACTTTTCCTTTTATTGAACCTGTTTCTTTTTTGATCGGAACTTTCCGAAAGCTTTTGGTTTTTTTTTTGATCGGATTTTTGCCATAGCCTTTTGGTTCTTTTCATTTTTTGATTTAACCTTTTCATTTTTGATCGGGTTTGCTATTTTGATCGAACATTTTCTTTTTTTGATCGAATCTTTTCTCTTTTGATCAAATTTTTTCTTTTTATGACTGACACTATTGTTGTCAAACGATTTGATTAAAAATGGCTAACCTAGTATTTTGGGCAAAAATATTACGCAAACTTGGAGATTGCTCATAGAAGGTAGAAAGGTTTGGACATCTATTAAAAAAATCTCAAAGTTTGCATAATATTATTTGGCTAAAATATTGTGTTAGCAGTTGTTAAAAATCAAGCCATTTAACAAATACTAATTGACACTTTTTCTTTTTTGAATGGAAAATATATAAAAGTTATTAAATCGCAGGCTATATATTATAAGCTGAAAAAAATAGGTCTATTCGGGCTATTATAATTTGATATTAAAAAATCAAAATTCCAGTGTTTTTTAGATGGAGTTATTCAACAATATAACAAAGATAGCAACTAAACAACGGATGGCAATTTACGTAAACATATATTAACCCTATTCCTTATCTAAAAACCCTTTCAATTTTAACCCTAACAACGTCATATGTTGGTTTCTAAAAAAACTGGTCAAATTGTTATTTGCTGCGTTTCAATTCAGCCTTAGTTCATATCACCAACCCCTGTAAGTTATCTGATATTCAAAATTATTCGATAAATAAATGCTAATAAATTTTTTTACTAAACATTACACGGTCTATAGGATAAAAATTGCTATCTCTATTCATGTAAACATAAACCACTGTTTAAATGGAGTATAGTTAATTAGATAATAAGATACTAGGGTATATCAGAATCAAAAGTACAACCATATTTATTATTTATAAATAGTTATAATTACTTATCAATGATTAGAGAATACGCATTGTTCATACAAGTAATCATAATCAATCATTAATTTGAATTATTTTATACATTTTTTGAAAAATGCTGCCGGCTTATTATACCACAGAATTTTATTTAACACTTCTGGTTTTCCAAATATTTTACTGGTGTCATTTAGAATAGTCGATATTTGCTCAAAGGTGGGTCTGTTCTCTGCTTCGGGCTCCCAGCATATTTTCATAATTTTTTCATAAACGTTAATGGCGCAATTTATAGGCTTAGGTAGTCTAATATTATTCTCGATATCACTTAGAATTTGTTTACCAGCCATGCCTTCGTAAGGCTGTCGTCCATACGAATATATCTCCCATAACAATATACCATACGACCAAACGTCAGTTTTTTCTGAATAAAACTTTTTGATAAAACTCTCGGGAGCCATCCATCTAACCGGCAACTGGGAGCCAGATGAGTGTTTTATGTAAGTCTCCCCATGTCTCGCTAACCCGAAATCCGATATTTTGCAAACAAAATTCTCGTCTAACAGTATGTTTCGAGAGGCCAAATCTCGATGTATTATCTGGCACGACACTAAATGGCGCATCCCCTCGCACACCTCCATTCCGAAATTTAATAGATTGGCTTCTTTCAACATTTTTTTTGCCGATAATCGCTTTTCTAAATAAATTTTTAAATTTCCATTTGGTGCGTATTCCATGGCAACGTAAAAACAATTATCTTGGTCGCAAAACCCGTACAAGCGAATAATGTTTCTATGGGGATTAGCACTCAATATTTTCATTATCTCCGCTTCTTCTTTTAAATCTTGCAATGCTTTTACGTGACTTGGATCCTTGATAGATCCAACACTTTCGTTAGCTTTAATCATTTTTATCGCCACATTGACTTTAGCTCCCTTTTTACGCTTAATGGAGCCCTTATTTACTTTGCCAAAATTTCCTTTACCCAATTCTTTTGTTGATATGTGCATATCTTTCCAGTTAATATTCCAGTAATCAAGGGGTTTTATTTTTTTGCCGATGGTCAAACTTGAAGTTGATTTGTGCAGAGCTGCGGCCAAACCTTTGAATTTATTTTTTGTCACCTCATCTTCAGGCTCTAAGAATGGAAATAAAATTACTTGGGTTTCAACAAAAGTTGGTCTATCATCCGGCTCAAGACTCCAACATTTAGTCATAACATCATATACCTTTTCAGGGCAATTTAATGGTTGGCTTAAACGTTCACCTCTTTGAAGTTTTTCAAGAACTTTCGTCGGATTTTCTTCATCCGAATATGGCGTGTCTGCGTAGCTAAAAATCTCCCACATCAATACACCGAAACCCCAAACATCACTTTTCTCAGAAAAAATTCTCGAATCCCCTATTAATGATTCCAAAGGTAGCCAACGAATAGGAGCATTTGTTGGTTTTCCAACTTCTGTGTGAATAGGACCAATAACGGACTGTCCAAAATTATCAAGTTTTGGCTCTAGATTATCATCTAACATTACATTTCGAGAAGCTACATCCCTGTGAATTACTTTATTTTTCGTTAAATGAGCCATTGCTTCACAAATTTTGTAGCAGAGGGACATTTTGGTAGCAAATTTTAAGATAACCTTTTTTATTTTTAAATCTTTTAGGTAAGTCTTTAAATCTCCATTCTGGAGGAACTCTTTGACTAAACATAC